GGCAATACAATGGCTGCTAGTAGACATTTTTGGTATTAAATCCTTTTCAAAGTATTTATTTTGTATGTTTTTGCAAATTACAATCTTTGAAAATATAAATAATTGAACAAAATAAATTATTTTTGGCAAATAGTATTTTTATATTAGTTAAAACTAGGCTGGCAATAAAAATTGCTAGTTTGTTCTGAATGGTGTGCACACCTAAAACTTAATTTATTTTTAAGAAAAACTGTGCCACAGTATTTTGTTATTATGTTGACAAATCATTGTACAGACTGATCAAAATCAATGTATTAGTCTTTGTAAGTAAGTTGTTACTTTACGCTCGTCCCAGTTATTGTTAAAGTTAGCTCAGTGCTGGAGTGTGCAGGGTACTTTGGTGCTGGAATTTTTAAGCTTCAGCCCTATTTGTGCATACTCGGTTTCATTGTACATATATTTTGAGTGTATAGTTGTTAATAATATAATTTTATTTTAGTAAATAAATAAAAGCGTATATTTCCCTCGGATTTGTAATAGGTGAATATCGATTAAAAGCTTTATATTGTAGGCTGAGGTAGACCGTAAAGTTTTTTAATAAAATATTTTTCACAGTAAAAAGTTATTTGTACCATTCAGTTGGTCGGATAGTTTTCATCTATCGGTTCTTTGTGTTTAACGGAACTGGAGTTGTGTATACGGTTGTACTCGACATGTTTCACATGGTAGCAGAGTCTATTTATGTTTTATATAAAGATTTTATGAAAAGTGCAATTATTTGTTTAATCTACATAGAACGTTGTTTGTTTGTACCATATAAAGCTACAAACGTGTAACTGAAATTCAAAGCGCATACAAAATTACACTAGTTAAGTTGACTTTTTTTCTTAATTAGATAAAAATATAGATTTGAAAGAGTAACGTACTGTATTTAACTATTTAAGTAAAATGTCTAATTATTGTTTTGGATTTAATGAAACAAATTATTTTGTGTACAGCTAAGTCAAACCATCACATGAATTTATTATTTTTTTATAATTATTTGAATTTACAAGGTTAAACATAGTTTTAGATCAAATTAGTTTAGTTGTAGTACTATCGATAGCTGGAAAATTATTGAAAATTGTAACCGAATTTAAGGCAGGTATGATTTTATGGATTTGTTTACCCTCTCGTCAGTTTTTTGTGCACGGTACTCGTTGTGTCATTGAGAAGAGAATTGGCCACCCTAAGATGCTTCCATGACTACTCACAATCCGCAACATAGGACAGTGGACTCGTGGTGATACATGTGATTGTTTTCTACAACATGGCTGAATCATGTATAGTAACGCTCTTTATAAATAATCGTACTCGTACTTGACAACAAATAAGTATAGAGAATTTGTTTTTCATTGTAGATTGTATAGGCATTGCTACATTGTTGCCTCAGTCCCAGAGCGGACAGAGACTTTGTACTTAGCGATTATTGTTATACCCTGCCATTCGTTATAACCTATTCCACGAGTTTTGTGTACAATATTGATTAAAGTACAGAGTTTTGTTTGTTTTGTAAAAACATTAGGTACAAAAATCGGTAGTGTTTTGTGGAACATTCTCACCTACCTGTTTTCATCAATTGATTCTATTACATCTTACTGTGTGACTTATATATTCAACTGTGTTTTATTTCTCCTTGTGTTTTGGTAGTTAATTTTTTAAGATTGGAGTGTTTTTAGCCCTTAAACTTCACTTATAACAACTATATTCAATTCACTAAACAAAAACTAAAACTTACTTTGAAAACTAAAACGGGTAAGGGCTGCAACCTCTGAGAGTCAAGTTTAGATCATACTGGCTTTTGAGTTCTTCTTTGGCTCAGTGTTGTTAGGTAGCCTGCCTGCCAACTGGCTTGGTGTAAACAAGGCTTTACATATATTCCAAGCAGTTTATTTGGTTTTAAACAGGTTCTAGGTATTTTTTTCGTATTTTTAAAGTCTCGAAATTCACGACCATGACGTGTCCCTAGGGTACATTTTCCAACTTTCACGCTGTTTTTAGACTAATTATTCATGCCGAAATATATAAAGCCATATTTTTATGTCATCAATGGTTATTAAACTTACAAAAAAGGAGCATATTATAATTTTATTGTCATTGCAAACTGACTACCATGACAAAATAAGTCTGTCCCTCGATTTGGCATCACGACCATTTGGGATGTAACGTAATGTAAAAAAATTTGGAAATAACGTGCTAAAATTAGTACTTTTTAAGCTATTTTGAGGACCTAGTTTAATGTGTTCAAGCTTCCCAGTTTATTTTTTAAAGGTCATGAAATGTTAAAAAATAAACTTGTACTCGCATAATGTCATGTTTTTTTTGTTTTTTTTTATTGAGACTTTGGTGGTTTTAATATCAAAGGAATACCGCAACATTACAACACATTCAAGAATGTTTGATTTACAAAAAACACTCTGGTGCCAATGTGCATGCTAAACAGAAATTGTCCAAAATCAGACCATGATTTTGAACCAGAGAACTTATTTTATCTAAGAAGTGTTTAAGAACTAGCACTGCATTATACCTGCCCAGCAAGCAACAGTTCATGTCAACCACGCTTAAAACAAGTAAACTTTTCTTTCAACTTTTCTGAAAATACACATTTTCTTTTCGGCATTAGGGTAGGCCCTAAGGACGATCAACACGGACAAATTAAAAAGTAAGATAATTATTTTTTAAGTAGGCATGTAACATGTAACGTAAAGTAAGCAGACGAAGAGCTAGTCACTGGTTGACGGCCGACGGTCGCTAGTATCATTGACTATAAACACTACGTAGTGTTATAAAGTCAATGCTAGTATGCTACTGGCCTGGCAAACTGGCTACTAGTGAGCAGAGTTATTCAGTTTCGCCTTCCTTTCTGTTTTGTTCTACAGTATTTCCAATGGATTCTAGCGTACGTTATACACAAAATTTGACCTAAAGAAAGAGGAAATGACACTTTTATACGTAAGATATTATTAAAGTGTAGTATTTTAACTTAGTTTAATGTTATGATGACGATTAATTATAAAAGCTGATTGCTAATATTAATACTTGCAGAAATATTTTTTTATTTTCTCACAAAGTCAAAATCCCGGACATTTGAAAGTATTGCCGAAAATCCCCCGGACGTTTTTTTTGTACCCACAAAGAGGACGTGTCCGGGAAAAAGAGGACGTCTGGGATCCCTATTCACGACCATCGCGGGTTTTTCACGACCAATCCAGCCTTATGGATTATAGTGTGTTTGGTCGTGACAATAACTTTAATATCATTGTAAATTGAACAGTTTAGTTCAATTGAAACACATATTTTTATTATAACTAACAGTATAATTGAAGGATTGTTTAGAAAGATTCAGATTATTTCAGAAAATTCACGACCGTACCGCTTGTCCCTAACCATCACGTTTACGATTTCTATCATAAAAATTTCAAAAATTAAAATATCGTCATATTTTAATGTTTTATACACAAAAGAAGCACACCTCTATACAAACATAACGACTTTTCGGGTCTCAGGTAAGTTTTTTCGGAGTTATACAAACTTAAAAAGATTTTATTGGCTTTTTTTTTAATTTTTTGAGTTTTTTTACTTTTTTCTAGAAAGACCAAATATACCAACAGCTCAGTGACCTTTTTATTGTATAATGGTCATAAAAGTCAATTAGTTTATAGCAAAACATAGTTGTAAAAATAATATTAACTATTTTTAATATTCATTTAAACGTTTGTTATGGTCGTGACAGGATTTTGTGTTTTTCCACTAAAGATGATCTTTAAAAAAAAAACTGCCAAAGATATTGCGTTACCATGGACATTTTATGAAACTTCAAATGTTAATGAAATAAAAAAAAATAAAAGTTTTGAAAAAAGGAGAAAAAAAATTGCAAAGTGCTTTCTCTGAAAACGTACGTTTTTAAATTTTCACTCATATTTGAATGGGAGGCTGCAGTGTGTTGCTATTAACGGCTCGACATCGGCTACTCAACTAGTACATGGGGTGCCGCAAGGCTCAGTCCTGGGTCAGAATCAGAATCAAAATCCAATCCAGTTTTCTCTGGTAAAAGTTAACGACGGACAGTAAAAAGGTTTACGATAACAATTACATCCCTCCCCCCCCCTCAGAAAAACGGAACGCAATGTTTAGGTGAACCTGGAAGTTTCATTGTTGCTCAACCTTCTACCCCTGCCTAAAGCTCTATAAATAAATGGTATCAGCATTCTGACACATACTTTCTCCCATAAGTTTGTCAATACCTTCATCATGTGTAAGCGGTGAGAGTAAATATACGGAAATTGGATTTGTACAATTTTGTTCAGAATTTAAAGGAATCTAACATACTAAATTTTTATCAAAATTGTTCTGTCCATTTTTGGGAAAATCCAATTTTTCCGTTATTTTATGGGGTTTTTATGGGAAAATCCTCATTAAAAATCAAAATTTCTAAATAATGAAAAAAAAAACTATCAAAATTGTAAGGACCATGACACACTATGTTAAATCAAAACCGGATTTTTTCTAAAATCCTATTTTTCGTTATTTTATGGGAAAATAAAATAATTTACAATAACTTTTGAACCGTAATTTTTACAAAAATGGGATTTGTACCATTTTGTTCAGAATTTAAAGGGCTACAACATACTAAACTTTTATCAAAATCGTTAGGCCATTTTTGAGAAAATCCGATTTTTCCAGTTTTTTATGGATTTTTATTGAAAAATCCCCATTAAAAATCAAAATTTAAAAAAAATGAAAAAAACACCTGGAGATACCGTGGATTAGAACCTACATACCAAATTTCATCGAAATCGGACCACGTAGTCCCTAGCTCTGTACACATCCAGACACACACACACAGACATGGAAAACCACTTTTTTGGGTCCAGGGGACCCAAAACGGATATATCCACTCAAACTTGAAAATTTTGACGAAAAAAATACTTTCTCCATATACTATGGTGTGCTATGGTATAGGGGGAGAAAGTAAAAATACGTTACTTCATTTCAATTCTATTTTTCTGGACCGGGTAGGTGATGTCACATGTGATCGTGAAGTAAATTTCGTACGTGAGGAAACCGTCATCAGGGACTCTGCGGCAGTACCAACTCTTCCGAGACATCGTCGACGGCCTTCGAGCAAGACTTGAAGAGACGGCGGATGTTTCTCCGTGGGAACACATCAGGGACATGGTTGCTGAGGATGTTCCCCAGCTCCGTCCCCGGATCGACGAGTAACCCCCCAGAACGACGTTGACGTCTACAGGTAGCTGAGCTACCAGGGCTTGGACCCACAGTATCTGGAAGTATATGCTCCTAGAGAGCAGGAGCTTCACGAGACGTGGCGCTAGTCGCCACAGTCATATAGACTTGGTGGCATAGTGGATAGGGAGCTGTTCTGATAAACGGGAGGGCCGGGTTCAAATCCCTCCGAGAGCAATAACTTTTTGTCAAGGATTTTTCTCATAATCAGCAAGTTTGGTTGGTTATTAAAACATTATAAAATTGAATTTGAGCCATTTAGTTTTATTTTATGAACAGAACTATTTTTTTATTACCCTTCATTCGATTTTTCATTATCAGCAAGTCTGGTTAGTTTATGACAGTTTAATTTCATGATTTAAAAAATATAAAATTGAATTTGAGGCATTTATAATTGTAGGTATTTAATGAACAGAACTAATTTTTCGATTACTAAACCTTCAATAGTCCAGAAGCCTCCTAATGTAACTGTTGGCAAAATTAATACTGAAAAACAAATCGTGCTACCGTATGTTTAATCTATGGTGTCACACCACGGCCGCCTTTAACTACAGGCCGCGGCCTTGTAGAATTGGCAACGTTGCAAGTGGTGCTGTCCAGCCCCGGAAGTCCCATAAGATAACATGGAAAGCAAGTGACACCAGCTCAGTAATTTACGGATTATTTATTTAAATTTAAATGTATGATTAATGATTATAAATCCATTAAAATATTTAATATAAAACATATAGTGTTCTAAACCAAAACAATTTTAATTGAAAATCTATTTCTACATTCAAACAGGAGTCGTTTTTTATAGCCCTAACCCACTAGCCCAGTGACCAATCCGTCCAATGTCCTACTCCTAGCCTATCCTATTCTAAAAAAATTCTCATTTCAAAACTAGGTAAGTTAAGCCCGGTTTTAGTCTTGTAGTTCAAAATAATTTATCTTCTCGCAACTCTGACTGTTCTGTTGGTTAGTAGGCTACTTGGTTTAAAGGAAAATGCAAGATTTACTTGACAGAAAGCAGGGCCGTCCAGTACTATAATCACTCAACCACCAAGCTGACATAAAAACTTTTACTCATAACGTTTTTAATATGTTACATTTTAACAAGTTACCTTTAAGCATGTTACATTGTAAAAGGTTACAATTTTACATGTTACATATTTACATGTTACATTTTAATATTTTACATTTTAACACGTTACATTTAAGCATGTTACATTTTAAAATGTTACATTTTAACACGTTACATTTTAAAATGTTACATTTTAACCTTTAAGCATGTTACATTTTAAATTTTAAAAGGTTACATTTTTACATGTTACATTACATGTTACATGTCGTCAATCGTCAATGTTACATGTCTTGAATCGTCGTCGTCGTCGTCGTCGTCGTCGTCGTCGAGCGCGGGCGATAGCTATCCTCTGTTTCTGGCCCCCAGACACGGTTACTCCTCTCTCCCCCAGAATGGTACTGTAGCCATCAGGGAACTGTCGGATAAAACTGTCAGCATTGGCCAGCCCAGCAGCCTCGTACACCTGTGACAAAGATTAATTAAATTAGTAATACCAAACTAGTGACAGGTAATACAAACAAAGTAACATAGAATCAAACCAGCTACCTTCTGATTACAAGGCGAGTACAGCAGTACTATAATCACTCAACCACCAAGCTGATATAAAAACTTTTACTCATACCAGTACTCATAACGTTTTTAATATGTTACATTTTAACAAGTTACCAAACTAGAATACTGCCAATACTAGAATACTAAAAACACACAAAAAACTACTTATTTCTAAAGAAAAAACTTAAAGGAAATATATACAAAAACCTACAGCTAAAGTCAAGTCAGGGTTAGAGGAGGAGATCGTCATACACGATATTTTTCGCGTATGCGATTCCCCCTTGGACACGGTCGGGACGGACAAGGACGACTATATGGTCTGGATGCCTGACTCTACTGAGCAGGACGTACAACTGACCATGAGTGAAACAGTCACTGCGAAGATCGACTCCAACGCGATCAATCGTCTGGCCCTGGCTTTTGTGGCCAGTCATGGAATATGCCAGCATGAGAGGAAACTGAAGACGGCGGACACGAAGCGGTGACCCCTCGACGAACGGGAAAACGAATTGAATCCGGGGAATACAAATCGGATCCTGTTGTCCAGGGAGTCGCACTGTGATCAGACGAGGTCTTATTGCAGTCACGATCACTTTAGTGCCGTTTACGAGTCCGCTGTCAATGTTCAAGTTTCTCATGACGAGACACACGGAGCCAATCTTGAGTCGCAGGACATGGTCTGGTACACCCTTGCCAGTAGCTTGGTTCAACAAGTGAACGTCTACATCCATACCATCGTCGTTCTCCTTGTCCACAGAATCAGCACTCCTCAACTCATGAACGACGCCGTCCATCAGGTTGAGGACGGTGTTGTTGATCTGCTGGACATTGGCGTTCATGGTCGAAAGAATAGACCTGCCAGCAATTCTGTCTGTGTGGTGTAGGTCACAAGCAGGAAACACAAAGTCAATCAAGTCGGGAAGGGATGTCACGTATTTCACACCGGACAGTGGGATCAGGGCAACAGAGTCACGGCCTTCCCCAAAAGGAACAGATGTAATTGTTCCATTGCCTACTTGAAGGAGGAAGTCAGAGTAGGCAGTGGACCCAGAAGTCCGGTGAGGTGTGGACAGAGAAAAGATTTTGAAACTTGGCCACAGAGATGACGCACGCAGTGATACACAGGCAATGTCGGCCGGAGTACGAGCCTTGGCAACAACTGGTGCGATCTGACGGAAATCCCCGCAGCAGATAAAGATCTTATTCCCGAATGGCTCAGGTGAATTCATGAGATCACGCAGAGATCTGTCGATGATTTCAAAAATGTACCGGTGAGCCATCGGGGCCTCATCAAAAACTATGAGCTGTGCGGCTCTGATGAGTTCTGCCCGCTGAGATCCGTTGGTCAAGTTCCAATATCCAGTGCCATCGCCGAGATCAAGTGGTAGCCGAAACATGCTATGTGCTGTCGTGCCACCAGGCAGATTACCAGCGGCAATGCCGGAGCTAGCGACAGCAATAGCGACCTGGTTACGACTACGGACGTATGCAAGAATAACATGTATTAGACAGGTCTTGCCGTAGCCTCCGGGTCCGTCAAGAAAGATCAGTTTTTTAGACCGGCTGTAGACTTGGCCCTGCAGTATAGACCGAACATAATCGAAGACCGCCCTCTGGTCGCGGGAAAGTTTAGGTTCCCACTCATCTACAAGTGATCTCTGACGATTTTCACCGTGGATGAGAAGTTCCCTCCCCAGTTCGGTCGTGTCGTCGTCTACAGTAGGGAGACCGTGATCGGCCAAGCAGGATCCCTGACGTCGAAGGCTTCGATCGATCTCAATCAGAGCCAGCTTGTACGCAACCTCGTGATCAAGAGGATTCCGCTCCAAATGGTCTTCGCACAGTGCTTCACGGAAAGCATCCCACAAGAGGGCCGCAGGAGCTCCCATGTTACACAGAAGGACAAAGAAAGAGCGGAGCCTCGGACCGACCATGAATCGAGCTGCTTCCTTCAGGGCTTGGTGGTACTCGTCCTCGTCCTCAACCAAACCGAGGGTGCGCGCTACCTGTTGATATGTCGTGCAACCATCACCACCACGAGCAAGCAGGTCGGCGTATCCCCGGCACGGAATGACCATCAAAAGGAGCCTAAGAAAGTACTGCTCGCTTCTGTTTGGCGAGACCCAGAAGAGACGACAGATCTTTTGACCACGCTTTCTTGAGGTAAGGAAATGCTTGCCGTCTGGATGGTCGTACACATCAGCATTACTAGGGCGTTTGTTATGAATAACGTACTGCTCGAAAAAAGACTGGTAGGTTAAATCGTCGAATACCGAGTCAAGAGGCCTATTGAAGTACAAGAGCAAGTCAGAGGTAGCTCCCGAAGTGGCGTTACATTTTAACATGTTACATTTTAACTTCTTATATTTCCACATGTTACATTTTTACATGTTACATTTTAACATGTTTTACGATCAAGTCATTCCCTTGCAACTGACCTGGTAGCCTAGTCTAGTATGAGGATGGATGGGATTTTCAGTAGAGCGCGGGCGATAGCTATCCTCTGTTTCTGGCCCCCAGACACGGTTACTCCTCTCTCCCCCAGAATGGTACTGTAGCCATCAGGGAACTGTCGGATAAAACTGTCAGCATTGGCCAGCCCAGCAGCCTCGTACACCTGTGACAAAGATTAATTAAATTAGTAATACCAAACTAGTGACAGGTAATACAAACAAAGTAACATAGAATCAAACCAGCTACCTTCTGATTACAAGGCGAGTACAGCAGTACTATAATCACTCAACCACCAAGCTGATATAAAAACTTTTACTCATACCAGTACTCATAACGTTTTTAATATGTTACATTTTAACAAGTTACCTTTAAGCATGTTACATTTTAAAAGGTTACAATTTTACATGTTACATTTTTACATGTTACATTTTAATATGTTACATTTTAACACGTTACATTTAAGCATGTTACATTTTAAAATGTTACATTTTAACACGTTACATTTTAACATGTTACATTTTAACTTCTTATATTTCCACATGTTACATTTTTACATGTTACATTTTAACATGTTTTACGATCAAGTCATTCCCTTGCAACTGACCTGGTAGCCTCGTCTAGTATGAGGATGGATGGGATTTTCAGTATAGCGCGGGCGATAGCTATCCTCTGTTTCTGGCTCCCAGACATGGTAACTCCTCTCTCCCCCAGAATGGTACTGTAGCCATCAGGGAACTGTCGGATAAAACTGTCAGCATTGGCCAGCCCAGCAGCCTCGTACACCTGTGACAAAGATTAATTAAATTAGTAATACCAAACTAGTGACAGGTAATACAAACAAAGTAACATAGAATCAAACCAGCTACCTTCTGATTACAAGGCGAGTACAGCAGTACTATAATCACTCAACCACCAAGCTGATATAAAAACTTTTACTCATACCAGTACTCATAACGTTTTTAATATGTTACATTTTAACAAGTTACCTTTAAGCATGTTACATTTTAAAAGGTTACAATTTTACATGTTACATTTTTACATGTTACATTTTAATATGTTACATTTTAACACGTTACATTTAAGCATGTTACATTTTAAATTTTAAAAGGTTACATTTTTACATGTTACATGTCTTGAGTGTTACATTTTAAATTTTAAAAGGTTACATTTTTACATGTTACATGTCTTGAGTCGTCGTCGTCGTCGTCGTCGTCGTCGTCGTCGTCGTCGTCGTCGTCGTCGTCGTCGTCGTCGTCGTCGTCGTCGTCGTCGTCGTCGTCGTCGTCGTCGTCGTCGTCGTCGTCGTCGTCGTCGTCGTCGTCGTCGTCGTCGTCGTCGTCGTCGTCGTCGTCGTCGTCGTCGTCGTCGTCGTCGTCGTCGTCGTCGTCGTCGTCGTCGTCGTCGTCGTCGTCGTCGTCGTCGTCGTCGTCGTCTACATTTTTACATTTTACATTTTTACATGTTACATTTTAACATGTTTTACGATCAAGTCTTTCCCTTGCAACTGACCTGGTAGCCTCGTCTAGTATGAGGATGGATGGGATTTTCAGTAGAGCGCGGGCGATAGCTATCCTCTGTTTCTGGCCCCCAGACACGGTTACTCCTCTCTCCCCCAGAATGGTACTGTAGCCATCAGGGAACTGTCGGATAAAACTGTCAGCATTGGCCAGCCCAGCAGCCTCGTACACCTGTGACAAAGATTAATTAAATTAGTAATACCAAACTAGTGACAGGTAATACAAACAAAGTAACATAGAATCAAACCAGCTACCTTCTGATTACAAGGCGAGTACAGCAGTACTATAATCACTCAACCACCAAGCTGATATAAAAACTTTTACTCATACCAGTACTCATAACGTTTTTAATATGTTACATTTTAACAAGTTACCTTTAAGCATGTTACATTTTAAAAGGTTACAATTTTACATGTTACATTTTTACATGTTACATTTTAATATGTTACATTTTAACACGTTACATTTAAGCATGTTACATTTTAAAATGTTACATTTTAACACGTTACATTTTAACATGTTACATTTTAACTTCTTATATTTCCACATGTTACATTTTTACATGTTACATTTTAACATGTTTTACGATCAAGTCATTCCCTTGCAACTGACCTGGTAGCCTCGTCTAGTATGAGGATGGATGGGATTTTCAGTATAGCGCGGGCGATAGCTATCCTCTGTTTCTGGCTCCCAGACATGGTAACTCCTCTCTCCCCCAGAATGGTACTGTAGCCATCAGGGAACTGTCGGATAAAACTGTCAGCATTGGCCAGCCCAGCAGCCTCGTACACCTGTGACAAAGATTAATTAAATTAGTAATACCAAACTAGTGACAGGTAATACAAACAAAGTAACATAGAATCAAACCAGCTACCTTCTGATTACAAGGCGAGTACAGCAGTACTATAATCACTCAACCACCAAGCTGATATAAAAACTTTTACTCATACCAGTACTCATAACGTTTTTAATATGTTACATTTTAACAAGTTACCTTTAAGCATGTTACATTTTAAAAGGTTACAATTTTACATGTTACATTTTTACATGTTACATTTTAATATGTTACATTTTAACACGTTACATTTAAGCATGTTACATTTTAAAATGTTACATTTTAACACGTTACATTTTAACATGTTACATTTTAACTTCTTATATTTCCACATGTTACATTTTTACATGTTACATTTTAACATGTTTTACGATCAAGTCATTCCCTTGCAACTGACCTGGTAGCCTCGTCTAGTATGAGGATGGATGGGATTTTCAGTATAGCGCGGGCGATAGCTATCCTCTGTTTCTGGCTCCCAGACATGGTAACTCCTCTCTCCCCCAGAATGGTACTGTAGCCATCAGGGAACTGTCGGATAAAACTGTCAGCATTGGCCAGCCCAGCAGCCTCGTACACCTGTGACAAAGATTAATTAAATTAGTAATACCAAACTAGTGACAGGTAATACAAACAAAGTAACATAGAATCAAACCAGCTACCTTCTGATTACAAGGCGAGTACAGCAGTACTATAATCACTCAACCACCAAGCTGATATAAAAACTTTTACTCATACCAGTACTCATAACGTTTTTAATATGTTACATTTTAACAAGTTACCTTTAAGCATGTTACATTTTAAAAGGTTACAATTT